TTCAAGCATCATTGCGAGATGAAATAAATTTTTTTGGAGTTAAAAATAGGGGGGGGGGGTTCAGAATTTTATTACGTCCTTTTCAAGGGGGTAGAGGGAAAAAGACAACCGGTGACAAAGGGGGGAGGGGGCCAAAAATTGGCTAAAAAATGGTGACGTCCTTTATGGATGGCCCCAAAGAACTATTCAAGAATTATTTTCTTGTAATTTAATATTACCTCAATTAAATCAAGTAAATATTTCCTTTATTTTAATAGTTTTTAATTAATAATATGTGTTACTATGTTAAGTGGATTGTTATCAAATATAAATTTAAGTTTGTGTGCTTGCTCTGTCTGAAAAAATGTTTAAGACAGCTTACTACTTTTCAAGCACATTGAATATCCCAACTTTACAAGACCAAGATCAATATCAGTGATACTCGGGTACCAAAAGGATTCTGCAAATCGTGTAGAACTACTTTGCGCAGGAAACAATAGGGGAAAGAAGTTGCACTCCCTCCTTTGTTTGATTTTAGTCTTTAGCAGCAAAAGATGCCAAATTATCCAAACAAATCACATCTCGAGTTATTTCCAAAAAAGAATTATCACCAAAAGAAACTATTCTACTGGCTAAAGCATCCAGCGGGCCTCCACGTTCAGTTACCCCTGGTAAATATTTATACTTAAATAATTTTAACATATATTTTGAAATAAAGTTTTGACTATTAAAAAATAACACTAGATAGATTTCAAGAAGTATATTTTTGACAAGTTTCTAATTTCTTTAAAAACGAATAATTTGAAAGTTTGACACAAACTTACTAAAAAAAGTTTATTGTAACTATAAAATATGTATGTTTTGGTTTTAGGTCAAAGTAGCGCGCAGACACCATCAAGAGCTCCGAAATTAACCACTGTAGCCCTTGTAAATGTGCAATTAAATACGGGCCTGTCAAATAACGGATTAAAGAAACTTGTTAGAACTGTTAACAAAACATCAAGCAGCAAGATGGTAGAGCGAAATTTCGACATGAATTTTCTAAGACTAGGTCAACAATTGAGCAATTTCTTTACCTGCAGCGACTTAAAAATCACAGACAAAACACAGATTCTTGTACAGTTCATGTTGTTGCTTACTGCAATGATTTATCAAGTCTTGTGAATCAAATTATTCAGTCCCGCAAAACTTCTGGTGGCCATTTTGTTAAGTTCGGAATTGATTTTCTCAAGTTTTGCCAAAGCATTGTTGATACTTTGTTAAGGGATGAAATCAGCTCACCCCACCAACAACCTCTCACTCAAAAGACTGGTAAAGACACTGAAGTCAAGAGACAAATTATTGTTGGGGTTTCAGAAGATTTGCCAGAAACACATTCTAATATTGACAAATCTGGTCAATGATTAATGCAAATGGAGTTAAACTAATTTTGGCTTGTGATGTGAAAGTTGCAAATATAATTTGTGGTCTTCAAACTCATTTAAGTAGGCACTCTTGCACCTGGTGTGACGTCAAATCCAATTGTCTTGCCAAATCTGGAAACTTGCGAAAACTAGGCTCAATTAATTCAATCCTTGAGTCTTTTCAGCATTCTGGCGGGGTAGTTGCTAATGCAAAGCTGTTTGGCAATGTCATTCAAAAGCCAATTATCTGCGGGCCTGTTAATGTTCTGAATTTGAAAATTATTCTACCAATAGAGTTGCATCTCCTCTTACGAGTTGTCAACCATCTTTTTAAGATCCTTAAAACTGCTTGGATAGAAGCTGTTAAGTGGCCAGCCGCCCTTCATATTTAACTGAGCCCGTATCACGGGGGCCAGTTTGAGGAAAACGAATTTAAAAAGGTTCTTAAAAATGTAGATATATGCTGTAGCAACTTGCTGAGACAAACATGGTTCCCAATATTGTGTGCATAATTAAAGCGTTCAAAAGCTTTAATTTAGTTGTCAACGCTTTGGATACATTCTTCAGCCGGATTTCGCTGAAAAAATTGAAAGTTTTAAAAAGTGTTACCTAATGATAACTGGTGCAAGCACAACACCCAAAATTCACGCCGTCTTCTACCACATCAAGGATTTCATCAGTCACAAAAAATCCCCCTTGGGACCCTATAGTGGACAAACTGTCGAAACTTCTCATCAAGATTTTTATCAAAATTGGTTGAGGTATAAGCGAAATAATAATTATCCAGAGTACAAAGAAAGATTGTTGCGCAGCATAATTGATCTAAACAGTAAGCACCTTTAAAGAACATCATTTAAGTTATTAGAAATTAGGCTGCTGAAATTCATGTTTTACGGCGTATAATGAATATTTTCATCATCTTTAAAAGTAGTATTTTAGAGTATTTGTATTAAAAGACTACATTGAGCTATTTATTAATAATCTTTTGGTGGAGAAAATCAAAAAACCATTTTTTAAAATGTAATTAGATATTTGATGGTAATACAATGTAGAAAGTAGGGTTTAAATAGTTTTCACTTTATTTTAAAAGTAAACGTATTTAAGGAGGTCAATACAAAATAATTTAAGCGATCTACTTTGTTTTTGTTTTACTAACTGGTAGTCCTTTGAACAGGTTTTGCACTTTTTTTTTAGCTTTTTTTTTGGAAGCAGTTTACACCTTAGGAAATGTTGGTATATTCAAGCGAAGCATACATGGCTGTCAACGCCAGGGAGACTAGGGGGTCATGTCCTTCTCAACTTTTTTTTTGCGAGAACCTTTTGTTTTAGAAATATAGGCAGTTTGAAGACCGTGTCGACACTACTAGCATAAGACTATTTAAATCATGCTTTTGGTAGAAAATCACTATTTTGGTCTATAAAATGAAAACTGTACATTTACCGATAAAATAATTATACCAAAATTTGTTGGTATTACATAGTAGAACACTCATGTAATTGTTATTTTAAAAACAGTGACCGAATTTCAAAGTAATTGGTAACGCTTTGAGGTATAAGTAGCAAAAAACTGACAAAACTTCAATTAAAACTGCAATAAATCGTACACCATTTATCCAATTGTTGGCTTTTTAACAGTTGTTGGCTCTGCACTAAGAGTTTCACTAAGTTCTTTTGCTAACAATGTAACTGCCACAAAACCTTCAAAAAATGCAGTTAAATGCAGGGGAAAAATGCAGTAAAAAGTTAAATTTAACTTTTAAGAATCCAAGAAAATGTTCTTCAATGTTTACATATTCATTTGCACTCTTAAAAGAAGTTAAATTCATATTAATTTTTACAAGTCCCAAGGATAACTGCTCCTTCTGACTAAGAACCGGTGTGCAGCCTATTCATTTTTTACCTTTTTTATTACTTTTATTTTATTTACGTTACTTTTGAATTTTATTTGTATTCTTTCATTTAATTCGTTTTCTTTACTTCTTTTTAGATATTTTGCTTTTACTTCTTTTTTATTTTTGAAAAACAAAATGAAAATTTTGCCCTAATCTATTCATTTTTTTTAACTATTTCACTCTTTAAAAAAGTATTTTACAGCCGTTAAACAAATGAGTCCTCCATTTGCGATGTCATTGCAAGATGATGATGATTATTTGCTATTATCGCGTACGAAGGAGAACCTTGTTGATATGTTTTTTAACTAATAAATAATTGCGCGGGTAATTAGATATTTTCGGGACGTATACTATTATAATATTTTCATTTAACCAAAACTTTTTCTTATTTTTAAACAACAGTAACACCTTTTATTTTTTTTTAACATGAGTAAGGCGAGGCTTTTAATCTCGTTTAAAAAAAGCTTTCCTAATCTCGTTTAAAAAAAGCTTTCCTAAGACAAAAATATGGCAAAAATAATTAATAGTTTACCTGGAGTAGAACAGTTTATTATAAATCAAAACGACACAACTAACTTAAACAAACGGTGGGAAAGATGGAAAGAAGATTTTGAGTTTTATCTAGTTGCAACTGGAGTCACGCAAGACGCGCAAAAAAAGGCGTTACTTTTGCATCTAGCTGGGAACGATGTAAAAGAAATCTATAAAACCCTGATAGGAACTGACACCAATCAATACAAGGCAATGTGTGATAAACTGGATCAATATTTCAGTCCGAGAAAGAATATAACATACGAACGCTACGTCTTTACGAGGATCAAACAAAATGAAAGGGAAAGTACAGTGAGCTTTATTACGCGATTAAAAAAACAAGCGGAGTATTGTGCCTTTCTAAATGTTACAGAGACAGTGAAAGATCAGTTCATATCATCGTGTTATTCTTTAAAATTAAAACAAAAACTCCTTCAAGATAAAGAAATAAATCTCGAGAAATGTATTGAGATTGGTCGAAACATGGAAGTGTCAGAACAACAGGCAAAAGAAATGTCTTATAAAAAAGAAAATGTATGCCCAGAGGAAATCAACGTAGTAGATCATTTAGAAAAACAAATCTTTTTCAGAAGAAGAAAACAAACGACAAACATTAAATCGAGATCTAGTCGAAATGATAATATAGACAAAAAAGAAAATAACTTGTTATGTTTTCAATGTGGGGAGAAGTACTTTGTTGGACACCAAAATGATTGCAAAGCCATGGGAAAAATGTGTTTCAAATGTCAAAAGAAAAATCATTTAGCTATTTGTTGCCGAAATACTCTACAACGGTTTTATAGGAGAAACCGACAAGTTAATGAATAAATAAAAAAGCTAAAAGTGAACACAGCTCAGAAAATGAATCAGAAGAAACGCTTGCCCTGACATGTAGTTCAACACGGAAAAGACAATCTAATAAAACAAAAACAATAAATGTAATAGTGGAAAATGTCACGATTAAAATGATTATTGACTCAGGTTTCAGTGTGAACGTAATTGATAAAAGTACCTTAGAAAGAATTAGAAGCAACTATCCTAATTTAATAATCAAGAAATCATCAACAACCATTTTTCCATATGGTTCGAAGCCTTTAAAATTAATAGGTTGTTTCAAAGCTGAAATTGAAGCTAAAAACAAAATAACTACAAACAATATATATATATCGTAAATAAAAATAATGTTGGAAATATAATGGGAATTGAAACTGCTAAGGAGTTAAACATTTTAAAAATTGCAGAAAGTGTTAAGTTTGTGAATAATAAAGAACACTATATGAATTCAGTGGATAATAAGTCAGTTGAAGCTGAACAGCGCTCTAACCTGTGTAAAAACATTGATGATAAAATCAAACTTCCAATGAATCAAAATGATAATAGTTTTGAGCATATTGATTCAAATTGTAAAGTCACTTTAAAATTTAAAAATAATTTGACAAAGTTAATTGCAAAATACGAAGACATATTCGAAGGACATGGTAAAATAAAAAAATTTTTAATGCAAACTTTATGTAAACAAAAACATACAACCAGTTGCGCAAAATTTGCGTCGTTATCCTTATCACCTTCGAAAAGACATTCGAGCAGAGTTAAAGCGACTTCAAGAAGCAGACATTATTGAAAAAGTTGTAGGACCACAAGAATTGATAAGTAATTTTGTAATCGTACCAAAAGCAAATAAGACAGTAAAGTTATGTCTTGATGCTAGAACCATAAACAAAGCAATTAAACGTGAAAGATACCCAATATCTACATTAGATTCGGTAATAGATGAAATGCATGGTTCAAAAATATTTGCCAAACTAGACATGAAGGAAGCCTATACTCAGCTAGAGTTGAATATCGAATCATGAAAAATTACAAATTTTCAAACAGATGAGGGAGTCTACCGACACAAAAGATTAGTGTATGGGATCAACAAGTCGTTCGAAATTTTTTAAAAAACTATGGAGCAAAGCTATGGTAGAATAGAGGGAGTAAAATTTATCAGTGACGATATTGTAATATACGCATCAGACAAACAAGACTTATTAAGAAAATTAGAACTTTTGTTAATCAAAACAAGTACATTAGGTCTGAAGTTAAATAAAAAAAAGTGTATTTTTGCTCAAGAGAAAATAAAATTTTTTGGTATTGAAATATCTAAAAATGGTATTAATCCTGATCCAAACAAAGTAGAAGCTATCAAGAATGCAATATCACCAACAACAGTCAGTGAGTTTCGAAGTTTCCTTGGTTTATGCACATTTGTATCAAAGTTTATTAAAGACTTTAGTGAAAAAACAACAGTACTACGGGAACTATTGAAGAAAAATTCAAAATTTAATTGGAAAAAAAACATAATGCTTTCAACATGCTTAAACGTGAGTTATCAAGTGAATCCGTTCTGGCTTTCTTTCTTTGATCCGCACAAAGAAGTAGAGTTAATCACTGATGCTAGTAATCATGCCATAGGCGGAATACTCTTACAAAAAGAAGGAACATGGAGTAAACCAATCTGCTACATAAGTAGGTCACCCGAGTTAAAATATAGTATTACAGAAAAGGAAGCTCTTGCCTTGGTATGGGCTATTGAAAAGTTACATTTGTATTTATATGAAAAAAACTTCAAGGTCATAGTGGACCACAAACCTCTCAAGTTCATTTTTTCTTCTGGGTCTAAATTAAATGCACGTATTGCAAGATGGCAAATCAAATTACAGGCATACTATTTCGATGTAATATATCAAATAGGAGAAGAGAACATTGCAGATTTCATCTCTAGAAACGGTACTCCAAATGAAATACATAGTGAGTCAGATGAAAATGAAATTACAGCATATGTAAATTTCTTAGTGACAAAAATGGCACCCAAATCAATATCACTCGAAGATATAAAAACAGAGACAGCAACAGACATCAGTTTAATTATAGTAAAAACAGCGTTGTTGTCGGGTAAATGGCATGACAATCCAATACTTGAACCGTATCGTAAATTTCAAAATAAGTTAACTGATCTCGACGGAATTATATTACGAGGAGAAAAAATTGTTTTACCAAAGACGCTTCAAAAAATTTAAGTGTTGAAAAATGCAAAGGCTTATTGCGACAAAAAATTTACTGGGTCACTATAAATACCGATATAGAAGTATATGTTAAAAAGTGTTTGGGATGTCAAGCAAATTCACGTGTTCCAAATCCTGAACCAATAAAAATGTCGAATTTACCAGAACATGTTTGGGATGAATTAGCAATGGATTTTTTTGGACCATTACCGTCAGGAGAGTATTTATTTGTTATAGAAGATTTATATTCAAGATACCCATTTGTTGATATAATAAAAACCACAACAGCTTCAAGCGTCATAAGTAAACTAGAAAGATTATTTGCTATATTTGGTTATCCTAACAAAATTAGAAGTGACAACGGACCACCGTTTCAAAGCGAAGAATTAAAACTATACTTTAAAAATGTCGACATAAAGCACATTAAAATAACGCCTCAATATCCGCAAGCGAACGGTATCGTAGAAAAATTTATGCAAGTTATAGGAAAAACAATTAAAATAACTCATTTTATGGGGAAAAGTTGGAGAGAGGAACTTCAAAGCATGCTTCGAAATTATAGATGCGCACCTCATAATACAACTGGCAAATCACCAGCTACTTTATTATTCAATAGAAATATCAAAAATAAGTTTCCTTCAATAATAATTGAAAAATTACCCTATGACAAAGAAGTGAGAGAACGTCAAGATAAAAAGTATAAGAAAGTACAAGAATACTTTGATATGAAACATCATGCAAAGAAGAGAGATGACATTAAAGTAGGAGATCAGATTCTTGTTAAATGCCATAAACCGGGAGGAAAATTAGACTCAAAATATTTAAACAATTGTTTAAATATTTTGAGTCTAATTTTCCTCCCGGTTTATGGCGTTTAACATTTTATTTCTTAAGAAATATATAGTTAATGAAAGAAAGCAAAATTTAATCATTGTAGTGGATAAAGAAGGAAACGAGTTGGCGCGTAATATACAATTTATAAAAAAACTCTTAAAACCTGAAGCCGAAAGTATACAACGTGAAACACCAGTAAATGATATCGAAAGAAAAATAGTTAAAAGAAAATCATATCCAAAGCGAATTAATAGACCTATAAAGTTTTACTATTAAAAATTTCTAAACACGATTTATTTATTTGTGTAATAATAGAAACTTTCCTAAACAGGGGGGGACTGTTGAGAGTTGGTAACAAAATACATATGATTGGTAAGAGTGCGTTCATGTGGAACGCATTAGAACTCGTGCGTTAGAAAGATATTTTAGTGAGTTATGTTTGTTTATATAATACTAGTTGTAAATATGTATGTTGTTATAATAAATCTTAAATACAAATAAAAAAAGAGTTAGTAGATATATATTTAAAATAGTGAACACAACAATTACCTTTTGTTATATCTTCTATAAATTTCCCATACAAAATATGCTATTATGGGAAAATAAGAATTAATGGTATTTTTAACAAATTTAACATTACTCTTCATTTTTTCATATAGAATTCTTTTGGGCTCGCAAAATAGTTAAATGAGACAATAAAAAACCAGCCACATTTCCATCACCTAAACTTACTATTAAATCCGTATCAGATCTTTTGATGAAAAATCTTTTAATGTTGATGTCATGACAATTTAAAAAAAAAATTCTTCAACTCACACTTGTTGTTAATTACTCGAGCCAAAGTAGGTTTTAGGTTGCGCTAAATCAAATGAAATATTTTATTCCTGAGGAAAACTCTAGCTCTGCTATTGATTTGCCTACTTAATTGTTTAACGTTAAAACATTTCAATTACTTCTTTTCTTTTTTTTCAGAATTGAAAATTATAAACTAAATGAAATTAAAATTAATGATGATGTATTTAAAACAATTCACCATATAACGTATACTAAAACTACGGCAATCGAATTACTGCTGCTACATTTTGTTTATTGTTTGATAATGAGTAATTTTATTTAATTTAATCAAAAATTAATCAGACAAACCACGTTCTTAGTTATTTTAAATGCTAAAATCTCGTAATAATAATTAAATAAAAAATGATACAGATTAGAAAGAAAAGTATTAAAACCCTTAAATACCAACTAACTCTTTAACAAAGAGTTAGTTGGTATTTAAGTAAGTTATCTATCTTTGTAACCTATGTAAGTCATCTATCTTTGTAACCACCGTTTAATCAAGGCTTTTAACAGCAAAAAGAATACAATCGTTATGATAATTGACAAGACCAGAGTATTTTGCAATTTCGGAATAACAGCGTTTCTCCAGATCTTTGTAATTGAAACTTATAAATTAGTTCTATATTTGATGCAAAGGTTGTTCGAGTTTTGTTTCAGTTTTTCTTATTCAAATAAAAACGCTCTAACATTTTGTCTTGTAACTTTTAATCATTTTTTAAATTAAACTTTGTAACTTGTACACATTTTAATTACTTAAAAAAATAATTGAGAAGACTACTTATTACTTGTAATGCATATGTAGTTTTAAATACTTAGGATAGAAAAATAGTTGTCAATTTTATTAACAACTTTTTTTTTTGTTAATTTGGTTTATATATTTTAAAATTTCTTCGGTTATGCGTTTTAAAATTTTTATGTCTTTTGCAATTTAAAATTTTTTTGCTTAGGCATTTTAAAATTTCCGGATTTTCGATTTATTGATCTTTATTGAACTAAGTATTAGCTATAAGTATAAGCTAATTGTTAGGGACAGATTACCCTATGGATCAAAAAAAAATTTTAAGACTAAATTTGACCCTAGTATAAAACTATTAAAGTTATTTTTTCTATATCTGGAAACAATTTATTTAGAAATCTATGAAGTTAATTTTTATTACACAACCGACAAAAAAAATACCATACTGTGAGCAAAAATTGTGCTTTTTCACCAGTTTCTGCGGATCCTGTAGATTAATTTTTTATTTTTTACAACATTTTTTCTTTTATAATTTTATCTTACATATACCATTTAAAAATATAAAAAAATTTGTGGAATAAATTTTAAGGTCCCGTCAAGCGTATAAAACATACGCCAAAATCAGGCTGCTGGGAATCTATAATCAGGCTGCTGGGAATCTAAAAAGTATCAAAAATAGTTTTCTATTGGCTCACACTTATTTTTATATAAATGGCCATTTTACAAATCGACGTGTAAGTTTTAAAAATCGATAAAATGTGAAGCATCCTAAAATGTACGCTTGAAACATAAAGATAAGAAAAAAAAAGTTGTCAATTTTTTGTAACTTAAAAATTAAGATTAAAAAAAATCTTTAGTTTTCAAAAAATAAGTTAAAAACTTTATAGTCGGAAAGTTATTCTAAAGAACAACAAAATCTGTAACTGTTTTTGAATCTGTAAAATAAAATATTTCAACAGTGCAACAAAATAGTTCTTCAAAAAGAAGAAAAATTTAAAAAAAAAACAATAAATTTTTTAAAAACAGATTGACAGCAATTGCTGTCAATCTGTTTTTAAAAAATTACTTTGTTGCTAGCAACAAAGTACATTTTTCATAAGTATGGATAATCCATTTAGTTATTGATAAATACATTGCACAGTTTAAACCAAAAATAAAAATGAAACTGAATATATTTAATATGTTATGTATATATATATATATATATATATATATATATATATATATATATATATATATATATATATATATATATATATATATATATATATATATATATATATATATATATATATATATATATATATATATATATATATAATTAATTTTTATTTTTTAAAATAATATTTAGTAGAAACATGTCAACACACTGTGTTTTAGATCTCTAGATTTTGTTTAAATGACATAAAGATAAGCGTTTTTAAGACGTCTTTTAACGTCTTATATTATTATTATACTTTTTATATTTATTCTAAAATAAACAATTTTGATTCAATAAATAATTGATTATTTTGTTCTATAAATACACTATTTTAGTAACACTACAAAAGAATCTAAAACTTTTCTAGTCAATGCAGTGCTGAATCAAGGCGGGGGGGGGGGAGGTGAGTTAGGGGGCTATAGCCCCAGGCCCCGCAAATTTAGGGGCCCAAAAAAATTTTAGCGGACCTTTTTTTTTATTTTTTTTATTCATTGTTAGGCTCTAGCCCATAAAAAGGCCTCAAAAAACAAAAATAGCCCCGGGCCCCAAGAAGTCTTAATCCGTCACTGAGTCAATGATGATCAAAAATAGAAATCTTAAGATTTTCTTGCCAAAAACAAGATTCCTTAGATTTTCTAGTCAACAATAAGAATCTCAAGATTTTATAGTCAACAAAGAGAATCTAAAAATTTTATAATCGAAAAAGAAGATCTTCTACAGAACAACAAACTATTATAGTTAATCTTTATTTTTAAACTTTTGTCAAATAGATAATTTCAATGGAGTCGTAAATATTACGCGTATACTCAATCTTGATCTAGAATGTTAAATGATAATTAGACAGATTGGCGTTAGCTAGCAATCTGTTGATTTAAAAAACAAAAAAACTTTAAAAAGAAAGATAATATCATACAAATTTGTTGAAATTTAATTTAATTTTGTTTACATTCAAATTTATCATTTAAAAGATATTTTGAGTAAAAAATGAACATCGAAAAAATATGCTTCTTTATACTTTCTACAACATCTACAATTATAAATGCTCTTTCCTTGTATTTTTCTTACAGAAAATACAAAATGCACAAAAGCAACTACGTTATACTGTGTATTAATTTATCTTTTAGTGATTTATTGCGTAGCATAGCAGGGTATATACCATCTTTATTTATTGAAGAACATATAAACACTGCTACAACGTTGTGTAAGTTATCTGCTTTTTTTATCGCTTTGACAGCGTATACAGCAATTGCTATGATAACAGCAATCGCTCTTTCAAGAATGGTGTTATTAAGTACATGTATTCTTAGTAATAAAATTAATTACAAAGCACTTTTCATAAAAATTGGAGTTTTATCGTGGATATATGGATTTACTTTGGCTGTTATGCCTTTTGTAGGATTTTCTTCGTACACTCTAGAAGAAACGCGAGCTCGTTGTTCGATCAACTTTTCTCCTAAAACTAGAGTGGAAAAAATTTATTTAATTTTATTAATAGCCTTTGGATTTTTTATTCCTGTCATAATAATATCAATTTCATGTTTATATACAGCTTATGTAATGCGCACAAAATATAAATATTTTAATGCAACATACGGTAGGGAAAATATTGAAACAAAACGGTATAAAGAAAAGGAAAAGAAGGCATTTTTATCTTTTGTACTAATGATATTGTCTTTTATAGTATGTTGGACACCATACGCTATAATTGGTTTTTTTTCAGCATTTACCTCAATAAAAATATTTAAATGGCTGCTCCACTTAGCTGTCTATTTTGGAAAATGTTCTACTATAGTAAACCCAGTAATTTATTTTTGGAAAGATGGCTTATTTAACAAATCTTTTATAAGTAAAAGAGCACAATTAATACAATTATTAACTAGAAAGACTCGAGTATGCAATCGACCAATGATTTAATGTTAGTATTGATATGGTGCAATAATAAAGTTTTATACAACACTTTCATAACAACAAATAAAGCCTTTAAAAATGTGGAGCTTATTTACTATGCTATTCTTTTAAGTTCAATAATTTTATTAAACTTCAATGATGAAACTATATTTATATGCAATAAGAATATTGAATATTTTTCAAAATATGAACACAGGATATATATATATATATATATATATATATATATATATATATATATATATATATATATATATATATTTATATATATATATATATATATATATATATATATATATATATTTATATATATATATATATATATATATATATATATATATATATATATATTTATATATATATATATATATATATATATATATATATATATTTATATATATATATATATATACATATATATATATATATGTATATATATATATATATATATATATATATATATATATATATATATATATATATACATATATACATATATATATATATATATATATATATATATATATATATATATATATATATATATATATATATATATATATATATATATATATATATATATATATAGATATATATATATATACATATATCTGAAAATCTGTACAAAACTCAAAATTATAAAAAAATTTATAATGGAATGATTAATTTTATTAATTTAAAAAGTATAATAACAAAAAAAGTTTAAATAATAGAATTAAATGAAGTTATAAGTTTTTAATGCCACAATGACATACAGTTTCCACTCTTGTAAACGTTGCGGCAGCTAGCCGATGTAAGCGTTTTATCTAAATTTTCTTAATTGAAAACTCTATCCGTTTTTTAAGTTCGTTTTTAAGTTCAAAGAAGATTTTCAGCTTGCTAACTTTTATTGTACACCAATCTATTAAGCTTAGACCAAAAATCTTAGCAGGTTTATGTACTTATGGTAAAAGTTCAATATTTTTGATTTTAGATTGTTGTCTTGTACTTTACTTTAGTAATGTGACAAAGCAAGATTAGGCAAGAAGATGATACTCTCATTTTTATCATATTTTTCAATAAGTTTCTCTAATATGACTAGACATCAATATAAAAATCTGACTTGGAATTATTGTATAAAAAATTTCAATAGTAAAATATGAAAAAGCATATGAATTTTATATAAAGCAAGGAGTTTTTTAATTAGCACACTTTACTTTTATAAATAAATAAGCACACTTTACTTAAATTGTTACTCAGAGTATGAATCAAAGCGTTTTTATTATCTACGTACTTAAATTTTCTTTTTCTTTTATAGTAAAATAATATAAACTAGCAAAATTTATTTCTTTTATTTGCTTTAACTTTTACTTGTTCTAAATTTATTTTACAAAACGAATTTATATAAAAACAGTTATATCAATTGTGAAACGTAGTTTTACACATTTTATATATATATATATATATATATATATATATATATATATATATATATATATATATATATATATATATATATATATATATATATATATATATATATATATATATATATATATATTTTATCACAAACATTTATCACGATTTTATATATTTTATTGTAAAAAACGACCTGTAATGAAGCCACAATGGGGCTCGGTGATAAGACAAACTGATGTCTTCTTCTTGCTCCAGCCATTAGTTTTATTATTTATGTTATTTTATAAATTGTAACTTTTTACGGCAAAATTAAAAATATAAATAAATAAATACTTAAACTATATTATTTGCTCATCCATTTTCACAAAAACTATGCGAACGCTGCCTGGGGAAGTACTAATTAAAAATAAACTCGAACCTCTTTATCAATAGAAACATGTTATAGACCTCATTAATTTCAAGGTCCGATTTATTCATGCCAAGCCATTTTAATTGAAATGAAAGTTTTTAATATATATGAGCCTAATATTTTTAATGTTATTTGCTTTATGTTTAAATGTAAAAACAATCTACATCCTGTACCTTTTTATAATTTGTATACTAAAAAAGAAAACACTAAATACATTTTACAAGAAGATAACAACATTCGTCAATTAACTTTTTTGTCAGCAACTCGTCAATCAAACTAATTTTGTCAGCAACTCGTCAATCAAACTAATTTTGGAAAATATTGTTTTTCATTTCGGGGTGTTTTTCTTTGACATAAAATAGTCTTAAAAAACTTTTTTCAAGAGTTTTTTGGCTTTTAAACAAAAAAATTCATTGTTTTATTAGATAATATATTTATTTCCTTTTAACTCCTTCTGAAATTTAACAATTAATTAAGTGTTATACAACACTTTTTGTAAATATAAAACTGTATAACGCATCTTTATATTTTTAGCAGAACTTTTTTTTTTTAATTATTGGATATATTCTATCTACTAATATAATAGCATGTGTTCTCCTATTGCTCATTTTCATTGTTAATTTCTTTACTTATTTTGTGAATGGGTTATACAAAATTCTAACACAAACTTTTTAGTGGTTCTACGAGTCCCTGCATTCTTCTCTCTTTTCATTTTGATCATCTAAATTTTCATTATACTTGTGTATTTTATATTGAACATCCTATTAAATGCTCTTCCGCGGTGCTCTGTGATAAGACCGTAAGAACATCATGGGGTACCTAAATCAATGTTAAAAAAAAAATGAAAAAGACTCATCCCGTCATTCCAGAGACACCGGTTAATCCATTGTTAGACATTCAAATTGCTTCAGCTACTTATTGTTGCTAAAGTTATTTCTCTCTTAAAATCTTTTACTGCTTGTGGTCCTCGCAACATTTCTGTATTATTTTTTATAAAAGTGCTCTACAGAACACGAGTTCTGCAAAAATTCATAACATTTACAATTAATTAAAAATTTATCTTATCTTAAAGATATTACTTGCTACATATACTGTAATCTTTATGGATATTTAATATATTCAAAAGTTACGTTCACAAAAGAAGAAATCAAATCAGGAATGAATTAGCCTAATCATAGTATTTAATTAGTCTGGAACTAATTGTTCCAAACTAATTCGTTTTTTAACAAAGCCGGGCTTGAGTTTAGATTTTAGTCCAAGTACGGTATTTTTAAAGAACTTGGGTTAAGTCAAGTTTCAATCGGAATGAGTACACAGCGGGCTTTAAGGTGGACAAATTAAAAAAAACTAGTTATCTAATCTCTAAAATTTATTCAATATTATTTTATATATTAAGAGAAATTTTTTGATATTTCATTTATATTTAATCCCCTAGTTACGGGAATTATGAGCATTTGAATATTGAAATTTGAAAAAAAAGTTTTTAATTAAAATTAAGCATTTTCGGTGAGATCAACGTTGTGTAATATTTCTACTACATCTGTGTTTTCAAAACACTAAAATGGTACAAGTTTTAGAGTATTCAGAGATAAAAAAAAAACATAAATTTGTCATAGCATCTTATCTCAGAAATACTTTGAAGATCAAAAACTTTAAAAAAAATTAAAAAAAAAATTAACTTTTTGCTCATCTATAACTAATGACTTATACTAATGAATTGTGTTATTGAAGTTACAATGGTTGATGGGAAGGCTAAAACGATATTATCTCTTATCTTAATATTGTTCAGTGAGTGGTGTCTCTCCAAAAATATGAATAGTTTTGATATCTTAATACAGATTATGCTCCGAGAGAATTCAAATATGGCCTTTTCAGTCTCAAAGCATGAATTCTATTTTTTGAGATGATTTTGCACATTGCAATTGAAAAAAAAAAAGAAGTTGGAGACAGCAAGATCTAAAAACACAAAGAAAAGGTATCTGTGACTAAACAGAAAAATCAGAATAATTTTATGGGAGTTTTCATTGGTTTTCACATAAGTGGTGGTTGTGGAACAAATAACAATGGCAATAATTCTAGGCATTCTTTTGCAGCATATGAACCTACAGCTGAAATTCTGAGTATTGATTAAAACCTTATATTTATACTTTACATTATCTTGGTAACGTTCTCTTCAGGATATGAAATAGACTCCTTAAAATACAAGGATTATTATTTTGACGCTGTAAACTTAAAGTGTCCCTTTATCCATCTATTAAATGGCTCAATATGCACACAAAGTAATAATACTTTTGCATGACATAATTTAAAGACTTAAATTACTTACTCTTGACCTTCTTTCAACATAATTCCCATAGGAATTATGTCAGAAGAAGCTCAAGAGGCTAGATACAAATACTTTATAGCTTATTGTAAAATTACTTACTTGAAACTAAGAATATACTAACAGAAGCAATGCATCAAGGCTACTCCACTGATATCATCTTCACTGACTTTGCAAAACTTTACTGACTTTTGCAAAAACATTTAATAAAGTTCCACACGTCAGACTTTTACTCAAACTTAAAGTCTATTGTAATAACGGCTTGATCTTGGACTGAATAGCAATTGATAAAAAATTGTCATCAACGGTTTGTAATAGGCAAGCATAAACCTAAATGGAAATATGTAAAAAGAGAACTTAGTATTGGGTACCCTTCTTTTTATCTTATATATAAACAATCTGTGGGACTATAATACTCATCACATATAGATTTATGCCGGCGATTGCAAAATACTTGCATTTCTAAAATCTGAGGAGGACAATAGAACCTTTAATATATCAAATTGTAATATATCTAAAAATACTGAAAATAGGTTGTTTTTAATCAAAATTAGGTATCAATAGCAAGAAAATAAAAAATGTATGACTTCATGAGAAGCGCAGACATCTAAGCTCATGCTAATTTTAGTGAACATAAAATTAGATATGAATTTTGTCTAGTAAAAGGGAATTCTGACCCATTTTGGAGTAGTTACTTGTTTCGTTCTATAATACTTGCGACTGAGTATTTTTATTTTGAGCCTTTATTTTAATGTAGGTTTTTGAGAGTTTATTTTAGGTGGGTTCTTTAACTCTATAATATAATATATTATATAATATTACAACTTTATACATTACTAGAAAATTGTTGTTCCATATTAGTATTTGTTTCATAAAGTATAGGATAGAAATTTTTTATCCAAAAAAAAAATAGATCAAGCTAAAGTTTTAGGTCATTGAGTTATCTACAAAGTTGTCTTTATAATTTTTTTTCTAAGAACCACTATTCCTGATATATTGCAAATCTTATTTAACAGTCTTATTCAACATAATCTATATATAATGTTTTACATACTATATGT